CAACGGAGCCAACCTGTAAACTCTATCAGAGTATGACACATTTCAGGAGAGCCATTCCAGCATAATTTTGGCCTTTGCAGACACTCTTCAGAAACTTCTTCCATATTCATGGCCTTTAATGTGTTTTATTCATTAAGGAGATTTCTTATGGAGTTAATGGCAACAATAATCATTGATCAGTGGCTCCTTTCGCAATTTCCCTGCTTCTAGTAAATTATTTAAATTAAAGCACATTCATATATCCACATACACACATTATATATACTCATGAAGAGGTTTTAGGGGACTTCATTTTCCCAGTGATTTCATTGAGTGCCATTGTCATCCTACATTATTCATGGGGAACCTTGCAAATTGCTTCTCATTCCTACAGTACTGATAAATCATAGGGCCATTTTCCCGGGAAGATTTCAGCTGTAAACTCCACAGCTTGTTTTCAAATGAAAATTGTGTTCAGTTAAGGTGATTTGTTTGCTATTCAAAACTGTAAGTCTTTCATATATTGCCATTTATAGAGACAGAAGCTAAGGATAAATTTGCACAACATGAATATTACAATGCCTTTGCCACCCTCACTTTCACTTTCTACTCTTCCTTCTCTTTGTTTCCTTCTCTTTGGACAAACAACAGGGGAAGGCATCACATCCTTGTCCTCATTGTAAGCTTCCCAGAGGCATCTGGCTTGGTCACAGTTGTAAACAGAATGTTGGAATGATTCCACAAGGCTCCTTTTATGTTCTTAGGAGTGAAAGGACAAAGAAAGTACTTGCAAACTTGAAAATAACTCCCTTTCCCTTGTACCATATGATCATCTCAGCTGTCTCCAGTTAGTCAGTTGCTGGCAGTCATTCTGCCAGTCTTCTTTCGCTGGCCCTGAGAGGGGACAAGTATTGCTGGATCGGATCCTGAAGCTGAGGCTCCAAGACTTTGGCCACCTCAGGAGAAGAGAAGACTCCCTGGAAAAGACCCTGATGCTGGGAAAGATGGAGGGCACAAGGAGAAGGAGACGACAGAGGACGAGATGGTGGGACAGTCTTCTCGAAGCGACCAGCATGAGTTTAACCAAACTGCGGGAGGCAGTGGAGGACAGGAGTGCCTGGCGTGCTCTGGTCCAGGGGGTCACGGAGAGTCGGACACGACTAAACGACTAAACAACAACAACTACGAGAGACATAGATGAACCTCCAGTTGATTGGGGTCATTATGGAGGCTAGGTCCCATATTGGGCAACTTAACAGCACTACCATGCTTATGTACCTTAATGCTCTAAGACAGGGGTGACCCACTCCTGCAGACCAACTTTGGTAGGTGAGCAGGACTGCCCATCTGCCAATCACCTGCCATTATTATGATATCTGGTGACAACTTCAGAGGGGTTTACTGTAACCACCAATCGGCATGGCCTGGAGTATAGATCACCCATATTGTAGGACACACGACTGAGTCTTCAGATCATTACTTCCTATCCACAGCATTTGTTCGCTGTTGTGAGAACTGCTAAACAGGGCTGCTACACAGGCATGGGACTCATTACATGTTATTCCCACAGTGAGGGAAGGGAAACTAATGAGGGGGCTGGGGAAGGGTTTTAAGGCAGAATGTCAAAGTTTGAGAAAACTTGTGCTGAAGTACGACACCAGAGAACAATAGACTGATCGATTAATCAGCGGAGAAAACAGAATGTGAAAGTATTTGTCAGTAGTGAAAGGGCTCATTTAGGAGAGTAATGTTTAAAAAGATAATGTGGGATCATTTCAGTGACAGTTTTTTGTTACAAATGGCTTACTTGGTGTAGCTTAGCACATCTTGTTCTTAACAATGTGCTTCGCTCTTCAGTGGTCTAAGAGACGAAAGAAGGAAGCATCAGATCAATATTATCAGCTGTTCACTGTTTCCCATACCAAAAGAATGGCATGGAAACACCTATTCATTACTCCAAATGTTTAATGCCCCTTTTGACTTCCTCCAGGGCTTTGATCTGACTATTATCCTTGTATTACCTTACAATGTTTATTAAATATGCTTTAAAAAGAGGGAAAGAGGGATGGCAAATCTAAGAAAGAGGGAGATTATAGTCTGGTATCAAGGTTCTGACATCAGAATCTGGCCAAGAAGAAACAATGATATTGCTAGAAATGAAGTATGAGGGTGAGATCCTGGGCTTGTTTTTACTCAAGAGTAACTTTCACTGAATGCAGTGAGACTCGTATGCTGGAAAAAAATGCGTAGATGATTTTGTACTGAATCACTTACTTCCTCTATATCTTGAAAAGCAATTATAATAAAATATAAAAAACACTCACTTCAACCACTGACCATATTAATTCTGGGAAACCAGAAGACCCTTATGTTCTCAAACTCCAGTTAATTACAATACCCATCCACGTTCTCTGTGAATCCAATTACATGTTTCTTATATTGCTACAAATAGGAATTTCCCTGCGTGAGATCATTACGAGTTTTTATGGGATGTTAAAAGAGTGTCTGGTTTGCAGTAGCCTAAGACAGCAAATGACATCCTAACAGAATTCTGCATTCAGCGTGTTGGTCAACAAAGGAAACCAGAGGAAAGTCTTACAAATTGACACATCCCATGTGGCAGTATAAATTATGCCCAAAGAAACAGTGACATTTCAGATAGAATTAATGTGTGAGCTCAAACGCACTTGCGGTTGCAGAGGGTGGTCCCATTTTAAGGTGCATGTGCTGCTCTCACAGGAGCAGCTCATCTCATTTTGCCACCTGAGGAAAACTGGAAAGGTGTCACCCTGTGTGTGTGCACCACCTGCCGTCTCAATGACCGGGGTCACAAAGCAGCGGCTTCCACGTTCTGACCAGATCTCACGAGAGTCCCATCACTGAAACCCAGAAGCCACCATAGCCACTTCTCTGGTGGGTACATCTTGGATTCTGCCACCTGAGGCAGCTGCCTCAGTCTGCCTCATGGACAGACCATGGTACAACAAAGAGTAAACCAACCACTCCTGTGTTGCAAAATATGAGTCAGCAATATCAAAAGCAACACGATGGCCAGAAACAATTACAATGTGGAAAACTTTATGGAATAATTCAAAACATCAAAACTAACAATCTGAAGCCTCTGAAAGTCTCTGAAAGTCCTTAAATGAATCACGGTGCCAGACTTCACCCAGCAGAGAGCAAGCTATGAAGCTTTGTATAATCAGCAAATGTCCAGTTCTGATGTCCAACTCTGAACTCTGCTGAACAGTCTTTCTGGATAACAACTACTGTTTCGTTGAATTCTTCATCAGCCAATTAGTTCAACACTTGTAAGTAGAAAGATGTATGGAAGTGAGAGCTGGACCATAAAGAAGGCTGATCGCCGAAGAATTGATGCTTTTGAATTATGGTGCTGGAGGAGACTCTTGAGAGTCCCATGGCCTGCAAGAAGATCAAACCTATCCATTCTGAAGGAAATCAGCCCTGAGTGCTCACTGGAAGGACAGATCCTGAAGCTGAGACTCCAATACTTTGGGCACCTCATGAGAAGAGAAGACTCCCTGGAAAAGACCCTGATGTTGGGAAAGATGGAGGGCACAAGGAGAAGGGGACGACAGAGGATGCGATGGTTGGATAGTGTCTTCGAAGCTACCAGCATGAGTTTGACCAAGCTGCAGGAGGCAGTGGAAGACAGAAGTGCCTGGCGTGCTCTGGTCCAGGGGGTCACGAAGAGGTGGACACGACTAAACGACTAAACAACAACAACAACAAAAAGTAGAAAGATATGTAATTTTTTCATTAACCAATCTTTTTTCGAATAGATATAATGAAAAATACTCTGGAACAGTCCTCATGCGATTATGTAGTCACAGCTTGCTTTTGATATTGCTGACTCATGGACAGACCAGCCTTGTTGCTCTGTTCTTCACCAGCCACGCACCTGGATTATTCTCTTCCTGTGTTCTCTGCGGTGCCACGCTAAGCCAAATCAGGGGGGAAGCTTGTTGCAAGGTGTGCGTATGTGTGCATTGGGATGTGCGTCCAAATGGGCAGCTCAGTGACGATGCAGCCAAACAGCTTCTGCATTCAGCTTCTGCTCATGTGAGTGAGCATTGGCCCAGCTGCCTTACTAACAGGGAGAGATCCAATATATCAGGGAAACTAGAACTGGGGCCAGACATGAAAAGCTAAACAAAAGTGGGAAAAGGTAGCAGAGGGCGTCATAAACATTTTCACACACCTCAAACTTTGGAACATAAATCAAACCCCATCAAATCTTGGCTACTGCGATGTAGCTGCCACTTAGGGAAAACTTCCACCTACACAACGGAGGTAAAATCAGCTTTCCACATGGGCTGTGTTGAGCCATGCTCAGTACCTGGGGGGAGATACAATGCTGGAGTCAATACTTATCACAAGATCTGCCTAGCCCATGCTGGGATCTGATTATCATCACTGTATTTGAACCCAGCAACATATGGAGAAGTTTACTGTATCTGCACTTCAGTAAACAAGCATTGGGAGTTTTCTGCCTTCCTGAAGAAGACGCAGGAATGTTAAGCAGTCAGCATAGAAGTCCCCAATACCTGAAATATACCTTCCCTGCAGACCCACCTGGGTGTTAAGATTGGAAGAGGGGGCAATCTTGGTTGTTCCACCACCCTCAGAAGTTTGGGCATGGTGGTGGCCTGGAACAGGGCATTCTTAGAGGTGGCCCCTAAACGTGCATCCAGCACCTTCACTACACAGCTTTCGGCAAATGCTGAAGACATGCCTATTTACCGTGGCTTTTGACACCTGAGGTGTATATTTTTAGGACCCACCTTATCTTTCCAATTTAAGAATTATTTATTATTATTATTGATTACATTTGTATAGCGCCCTATACCCATAGATCTCAGGGAGCTTCACAAGTAGTTTTAAGCTGTTTTTAATGTTGTGTTTTAATCATTGTAACCTGTCCTGGGACCTTAGATTGACTGGTGGATAATACATGAATAAATAAATGATACTATTCAAGCTCAAGGTCCATATAGTAAAAGCTATGGATTTCCCAGTAGTGATGTATGGAAGTGAAAGCTGGACTATAAAGAAGGCTGATCACCGAAGAATTGATGCTTTTGAATTCTGGTGCTGGAGGAGACTCTTGAGAGTCCCATGGACTGCAAGAAGATCAAACCTCTCCATTCTGAAGGAAATCAGCCCTGAGTGCTCACTGGAAGGACAGATCCTGAAGCTGAGGCTCCAAGACTTTGGCCACCTCATGAGAAGAGAAGACTCCCTGGAAAAGACCCTGATGTTGGGAAAGATGGAGGGCACAAGGAGAAGGGGACGACAGAGGACGAGGTGGTTGGACAGTGTTCTCAAAGCTACCAGCATGAGTTTGACCAAACTGCAGGAGGCAGTGGAAGACAGAAGTGCTTGGCGTGCTCTCGTCCAGGGAGTCACCAAGAGGCGGACACAACTAAATGACTAAACAACAACATTCAACCTCACAATCAGATCTGAGAAATCAGGGAACTGACCTCTCTAAGATGTAGCTTCTGAAGCCACTGCCTTGACAGTCCATACAGGAAGCCACTCTGGGCGGCTTCCATAGAAACCAAAAAACACTAAAATATCATACATTAAAAACTTCCCTGAACAGGGCTGCCTTAAGATGTCTTCTGAATGTCAGGTAGTTGTTTATCGTTTTGACATCTGATGGGAGGGCGTTCCACAGGGCGGGCGCCACTACCGAGAAGGCCCTCTGCCTGGTTCCCTGTAGCTTTGCTTCTCGCAATGAGGGAACCGCCAGAAGGCCCTTGGCGCTGGACCTCAGTGTCCGGGCAGAACGATGGGGGTGGAGACACTCCTTCAGGTATACTGGGCCGAGGCCGTTTAGGGCTTTAAAGGTCAACACCAGCACTTTGAATTGTGCTCGGAAACGTACTGTGGTCCATACCGAGAACAGTACTGGGAGCCAATGTAGGTCTTTCAAGACCGGTGTTATGTGGTCTCGGCGGCTGCCCCCAGTCACCAGTCTAGCTGCCGCATTCTGGATTAGCTGTAGTTTCCGAGTCACCTTCAAAGGTAGCCCCACGTAGAGCGCATTGCAGTAGTCCAAGCGGGAGATAACTAGAGCATGCACCACTCTTGCGAGACAGTAATAGCACATAGGGGAGTGGGTGGGGAAGTTTAAGGGAAGTGGCATGAATTCAGCCTAAAATGACTGCTGTACACACATGTGGGGAGAATTCCAGCCATTTCCTCTCTGTGAGCCTCCCCTCCCCCTTTCCTTAACAGTCTAATAATCAGTTTACAGCAGGGCTGTCAAGCTTCAGCTAAAGGCTGGTGGAAGATTTGTATGGTGCCACAGGGAGATTCTGCAGAGCTGGAGGGGGATTCAAGTAACTAATTGATGCAATCAATTTTTAGTGAGGAATAACAAGGCACACACCATTAATATTTAATGCGGAGGAAAATGTATTTTGAGAGTTTTTAAAAGGAAATATATGAATCTACTATTAAAATGGTCCCCATACAGGATCAACATGAAACAAAACCTCTTTTAATTCACAAGAATGTGAATTCTGTAAGAATTTGAAAAACCCTACCACCTGCCCCCTCTATTTTCAACCCTTCTGCTCTTCATTAACTGCAAGAGCTGGGAACTGGGGGTCAGGGGGGCGGAAAGGCAGCACAAACAAACATCTGTATTTCATAGGACCTTTTTGCATTAATGCCCAGCTATAAAGGTAAAGGGACCCCTGACCATTAGGTCCAGTCGTGGCCGACTCTGGGGTTGCAGTGCTCATCTTGCTTTACTAGCCAGGAGCCGGCGTACAGCTTCTGGGTCATGTGGCCAGCAGGACTAAGCCACTTCTGGTGAACCAGAGCAGCGCACAGAAATGCCGTTTACCTCTGCCAGAGCGGTACCTGTTTATCTACTTGCACTTTGACGTGCTTTCAAACTGCTAGGTTGGCAGGAGCAGGGACCGAGCAACGGGAGCTCACCCCGTCGCGGGGATTCGAACCACCGACCTTCTGATCAGCAAGCCCTAGGCTCTGTGGTTTAACCCACAGCGCCACCTGCGTCCCTAATGCCCAGCTAAGGGGTAACTAATACTGCACCATTTTTTCAGTAGATTTGATATCTTGTGCAAAATTTGTAATTTAATGGGTAAATGGAGAGTTTTGAAAGCATCCACAGAAAGCCTTCCTTCTATGCACTGGTCATTCTTCCTGCCCACCAATGTTTCTGGTCCTTGTTTCCCCAGTGTGCTTCAGGAGCAAGCTGGTGTGCTGCCATCAGTTTTTATGAACTTGAAAGGGCTTCTTCACTGCACGGTTCCGAGCTAATCAGACTCAACAAGATGGTTATCAAGCCAGCCTCATTATTACTCTGACAAATTCCATGTCATGCTAAGCTTAGCTGGTGGTTTCATTGCTTCACTGTAACAAAGACTTTTCCCCTGCTCCAAGTTTAGTTTGACTAGCTAGGGAAGAATTGCGATGGTGTTGTGCTCTCATATGCACACATTGTTGTTGTTGTTGTTGTTATTGAGTCGTTTAGTCGTGTCCGACTCTTCGTGACCCCCTGGACCAGAGCACGCCAGGCCCTCCTGTCTTCCACTGCCTCCGCAGGTTGGTCAAACTCATGCTGGTAGCTTCAAGAACACTGTCCCACCGTCTCGTCCTCTATCGTCCCCTTCTCCTTGTGCCCTCCATCTTTCCCAACATCAGGGTCTTTTCCAGGGAGCCTTCTCTTCTCATGAGGTGGCCAAAGTCTTGGAGCCTCAGCTTCGGGATCTGTCCTTCCAGTGAGCACTCAGGGCTGATTTCCTTCAGAATAGATAGGTTTGGTCTTCTTGCAGTCCATGGGACACACACCCCTATCCATATTCTGACCCAGCTGAAAACTATGCATGACTGAATCAAGAGGACAGAAGATCAGCTTGATTCCCTCAAGAATGAAATGTGTTCCCTCTTCGTCTGGCATCTGCCCCTTTTATCCTTTGTTGCAAAGTGTTTTAGAGGATGGATCTACATATTTTTGATTAAGACCAGGGCCAACATTACAAAGGAGACATCTTGCACTTCTCAGTATCAAGTACAACTGTGCCTCTCTCCCTTCCCCACTACACTGGTGTTATGTACTGAGCTAGAACAATACAATCCAGAATGCAGCAGTCTGATTGGTCCGCTGGAGCTCCCCAATCCAGCTCCTGGATGAAGTGAATCAGCATCCTGATTGGCCTGCAGGAGCAGCCAATCAGGCTTCTGGAGGAAGTGAATCCGCAACCTGATTGGCCTACAGGAGCAGCCCGGAATGAGCCAATGACGCGGGGCCCATTGGGTAAATAATGTATATATAGCCTTCTCTCTTGGAGCGCTAGCCACCGTGGAGTAGGCTCAGGTTGGGCCTGGGCTCAGCAACGTGTCCTTGCCCTCCCGGTGCTCTCCTCCTTAACGGTGGCGGCAGCAGCAGTGGCACAGCAAGGTCGGGGCTCCCCTCTTTTTTCTCCTTCCTCTTTCTCTCTCTTCCTTCTCCTTCTCATCTTCTCCTTCTCCTTGCGTTGGCTCCTGGCCCCGGAGCACCGCTGCGCAGTTGGCCGGGTGGCCAGGCACTCTCGCTCCCGGCTCGATTTGGGTCATGGGGGGGTCAGCAGTTCCCCCAGTTGACACGCCAGGCATCCCTGGTTCCCCCTTGGCAGTGGTGATGGCGGCAGCAGTCTCAGTAGCCCGGAGCCAGCCTGGTAGTGCAGTTGGCTCTGGCTGGCTTCAGGAGCTGCTCACTGCCATGGCGCCCGCCATTTTGCCTCGAGAGCAGGCTGGGGCCCAGAGGAAGGTCACACGACAGAGGAGACTACAGAAGAGAAGATATTACTTCTTAAAAAAAACCAAAAAAACTTTTTTTAAAAAATAACTTTTTTCTCTTTTTTTAGAAAAAGTGTCCCCGGATTCTTTGAAAAAAATCTGGTAACCTTAGCACAAGCCCTGAGTGCTGATCTGCATTGCAGGATAATTATATTTCTCATTCATTTTAAAAAATGTATTTATTGCACCTGTCGGTGCTTGCTCATCATCCCTAGGAACAGAGAGAGAAAAGTATGGAGAATACATTCGTTAAACTTCAGAACTTCAGGACTGGGAATTGGCCCTGTGCAAAAAAAATAAGCCTGTCCCATTGCGTCTGGCTGCTCATGCTGAGATCTAAGTCATGTTCCTTGAAACCCTGAAAAGCCCTGTAAGTTTAGGCCAAATAGTGAGATCTGGCAACCTAGCAGGGAAGCATAAGCTTCTGCTGCTTCTTTTCCAATTATTACACGAGCCCCTGAAAGAGACAATTAAAAGCAAGTGCCTTTAGCTCAAATGCTATAGAGCAGAGATTGAGGATGTTGCATGGTGGATTTCCAGGTCTAAGTTTGTAATCCTGCTTTATGTGAACTTTTTTCATTTCCTCTTTTCAGCTCCAAACTTCTCCCAAATTAAATGGGTGTTGTGAATTTAAAACAAAAACACACCTTAACAAATACCTTTATAGTGGGTTTCAGTTTTGCATTTCAAAGAGGCTGCAGGAGAGAATTGAGAAAGCCCTTGCACCTAGTTCCGGCATGTCCAAAGTCCGGCCCAGGGACCACTTGCGGCCCCCAGGCTGGTTTCAAGTGGCCCCCCAGGCAATTTTGAAAAAGCAATCTCTTGCAGCCCCCGAGCGCCTGCCCACCAAAGCCATTTCCTTTTTGCAGGCTCGTCATGGCTAGCCCCCACGCCATTAGGGAGTCCCCAGCTGCATCACTCCTTGGGTCGACCAATCTGGTCAGCTGGGGGGGCGTGACTGAATAAATAAATACTACAGTACACGTTCGGGACATTGATGCTGCAGCGATGGCGGTAGCAGAGGGGTGGCTGCCACCTTGACCCAGTGCTGGATTTATGTATAGGCTAAGTAGGCTGAAGCCTAGGGCCTCTAAATCTAGGGGACCTTGCCACCCCGCCTGCTCCCCAGTGGGCAGTGTCCCCTCTCCCAAAATTGCAAACCCAAGACTTCATGTGAGGCCAGGACACCTTGGGCCTCTAAATCTAGGGGGCCTCACCAGTCTACCTGCTCCCCAGTGCCATAGTCTCCCGTCCCCCAAAATTGCAAACCCAAGACTTCATGCAAGGGCAGGGCGACTCAGGCCCAGCAACTATGAGACTCAGGGCTAGCCAGTGGGGCCCAATTTGAAGCAGTAGGGCGCAACAGAAAGCAAACTAAAAATGCTTTTGCAGTTCATCAAAACTATCCAGCAATATCAAGTTATAGGAAAACTAGTCTTATTAACAGTAATCCTTCTAGTTGGTTAATTGGTTCGGCAACTTCCATGCACATGACATGTGATGCTAATTATTTCCCCCAAGAGTTAAATGATAACTAATCAGAGGCAGCTACAGTTGCAAATGGCAACGAAATATCTGTGAAAGGAAGAGGAGCAGGTTTGCTCAGGTGTGTTGCAGGTAGAAATACTGATTGTAATGAAGTGAGAGCAGTAGTTTACTTGCTTGAATTAGCAAATAAGAAAGTTTTGAGAATTTAAATTCTGGATTAAAATGGATTACTTAATTAAGAAGGGGATTGTAACAAAAACACTGGGGCCTAATTTGAATAGTAGAGTGCCTGGTATCTGGTGGGCAGACCAAAGCACTCGTCAGGAAAGCTATGTGATTCAGGTGAGGGTGAGATGCCTTGTCAATCCCAGCAGGTATATAACAGGAAGACCCGGCCTGAGACCTGCCCAGGCCGGGTCTTCCTGTTATATACCTGCTGGGATTGACAAGGCATCTGACCCTCTCCTGCGGCCTGCCCAATACAGAACATGCCAGTAAATTCAAACATAAAAAATACAGAACATGTCAGTAAATTCAAATTTATTTGAAGATCAAACAGCAATGTTTCAAAATACAATGGGGAGGAAAGGATATTTGCCAGTTCCCATCAAAATGTGGCATATCCCTAGGTCAAAAGCAATCCGGTTCTGGGAGTGACAAACAACAGGGGGCTGTTGTCGTTATACTCTGGTTGTGCATTTTCCCAAAGACATCTGGCTGGCCACCATGGGGAGCTGGGCATGCTTTAATAGATGGACCTTTGATGTGCTTCACCAAGATTCCCCCTAGGTCCTTACTTTCCTATGCCTGGTCTATTCTGCTCAATGCAGCTGAGCAGTTTGTTTAAATTGTAACCCATGCTCTGTTTAAAGTTTGCTGAGATCGAGCACATTGTTCATAGAAGTGAATATGTGCATCCCCGTATCACATTTGATATCATGTTTATGGGATGGGAGTGGAGGGCACAACCCTCCTTTTCCACCATGCATGCAACAGCATTGCTAGATTTCAAATGTGTGAATACTGGAGGCTACTTTACAGAGGAGAAGTCCTCGTTTTGAAGGCATCCTCTGTTTGAGGAGCTGCCCAGGCCAAATCCAGTTTAAAGGTAAACAGCCCTAAGAAAGGAGAGCTGAGACTTGGAGGTTGCCCAGTATCAGCACCCAGACACCAAACTGAGCAGGCAAAACAAGTGACCAGGTCAGTCTTCCTCACTGTGGTGTTGATAGTGTTTCTAAAATTGCACCTATATGTCTAAATTAGAACATGCAAATTTTATGTACATTTTTGCTCCTTTTTGTCCTATTTTGGGTGATGCATTTACCCCTTTTATTTGGCAAAATGGCTGCCCTATGTATGAGAAGCTCTGAGACAATGACACATCTAAAGGTTGTATCAATCTCAGTCATTGTGTGAGCATAACTTCTGCCTGCCCCCCTCCCTCTCCTCCTGCACCTCCAGCTGATTTGGGGGCAGCGGGGGGGGGGGAGAGGCGGGAGTTCCATTGTGCAAGTGAAAGTTGTTCTGCTTAGTTGGATTCATCCCTAAATAAACAAACATGCAAGTTAGGGGCTCATCAACACTTCTGTAGGGATGATCGCGGAGTGGGGAGTGGGGTCCGGAGGGAGCACACTCCCCACCCGCAGGCAGCCTCAGCCTGCCTGCACGCGTGACCTTGGGGTGCGGAGCACACACACCCCTCACAGACAAAGCCACAGCTGTCTGAACATCGTTGCCTCTGTCTAACCTTTTGCTGTCTCAGTAGTCTGCGGTGTCCTGTCTGTAACCTTTGTCTCTGAGACCTTTTGTCTCCTTCGTCATACACTGTGCAAGGGGGAAATGACGCGGTGGAAACAGGTGCCAAAATAACTTTGTACCACCCCACGATCTCGAGACCAGAAGATGGGTAAAGGTCACAGCCCAAAATGTATCTGCCTGGTTTGCATATTTGTCTCAATAAAAGGAGGCTCCACAGGGCTGGCTGGCAGCTCACCTGTGCGCAGCTCACCTGCATTATCAACTCCTGCCTCATGTCCGTCACTTCAACTTCTGCTTCCCCTACTGCTTTCCTCCAAGGAAACCCACTTGTAAATTGGAGCAAATATCAATCAGCTCTTCTGTGGATTGTCATTTGCTCCGATTCAGCAAAAAAGAGCAGGTTTTCCCAGGGACAGCAGTGGGGCCAGCAGAAAACCTATTGGAACCATGCTTTCTAGGCACGGGACAAGTGAACTGTAGACCCTCTCAGCAACTCCAAAACTCTGCAGTATCAGCCATTGCTAACCTGCTGTCTGTTAAGGAGATATTCACAACTTGTTTTCTATTACGCTTGTGTTAATCGCTTTCATCTGTAAAGCTCTTGTTCCAATTTAGCCCTGGTGCAAATTGCATTTACTTCAGAAGATTTTTGCCCACCTTAAAATGAACATCATTTTGTCATTTATATGTTGCTCAGAAGAATAAACAAAGCTTTTCATTTAAGTGGCAAAGCCTGGGAAAATCAACACAGCATAACCAATTGTGATTGCATGAATTATGTAACTAGTCCCATTGATTTCCTTCCAGTTATCCAAGAAAGAAAAACAAGTTAGGTTCACCTCAAGCACTGAAAATTTTTATATCCTATTGTTCACCAAAGGCCTTAAACAGTAGCCCATTTCTGAAATGCTCCATGTTCAAGTCAATATACTTTTTGGTATTGGATCAAAATCCTCTGATTTAGGACAGCTTCATAACATGAATGGGTGAGATGGCAAAAAATAATAATATTCGGGTGGATGGAATGTAATGACGAGAAAGCTAAAGATTTCATTCTAGAACTGTACAACATTAGAGTGGCAGTTGTGGCACAAACGCATAGAATTGTAGTACAAATGTGAGTTAGACCTGGTGTACGTATACAGCACAATGAGGTGGGAGGTTTCTGAGGTGGTAGAATGGCCATTACCAATTTAGAATGAAAGTTGAGATTACTCTTTTTTAAAAAAATAAAAATAAAATCCTGCGTAATAAATTCCCAGCAAATATGTTTCAAACATATTTTGTAGTAGCTCATAAGTGTGGAAATTTATAAACCAACCAGCTCCTACCCAAGTTCCCCTAGCAAGGGTTAGCAGTCACTTTTGTGCAGCTTGGCTGAGAGACCAAAATAGTAATGTTGGGATGAGATAAAATGGATTATTCAGAATGTCCTTGGATCAAAGCACGCCAGGTTAATAATTCAAAAACTGTGGTTTATTAATAAAACAAAAAGAACACAGAATTGCAGTCAATGAAACAGACAAATAAATGCTCCTGAGACTTTTACCAGGTGGCATAATAAGCGAGGGCGTTGTCTGTTGCATGCTGCAAAGGAGCCATTGTAAGAGGCAACAGTTAAAGCTGGCAGAAGACGTAGCATGCACTTCAGGATATATAGCCAGCTAATTCCAGCTGAAGACCAGAGACAGAAGGTACTACACTTTGTATTTGGTCAAATATTTACAGGACTGCCTGCAAAACTGGTGCAACTGCATGATTGAATGGTGAGGAAATAATGACCATCCAATTTGTATCAACACACATTTTTGTGAGACACTAGGCTTGTTCACATTTTTGCTTGCCCTGTGACTAGAAAGCATGGGTCCGAGTGGCTTTCTGGTTTTCTCATGCTTTCAGTAACATTTCAGCTACTCTGTAAACAAATATCACCTGTAAGCAGGGCTTTTTTGTCAATATATGAGTTTACTGGTACTTTAATCAATGAAAGCACTGCTTGCAATACCCCCATTATTTGGGGACCTGAATGTTGGCCTTTGTCATTTGCCTACCTCTGTCCTAGATTAATGGCCATCAGCCATGTGAGTAGACTGGTTGTATGTGCTTTCCCCATGGAATCAGGAGTGTGCCATATCAAAGGAAGGACCCACACGACAAGTTCACCCACATAATTGCAGGCCTTTTAAGAGCATACTGTCTGCCACAGGCACCTGCTCCTCCGTTCAAGGCAGTTTCACCCCCCTTGTATTTTTTGAGGGGGCCGGGGCCCCCCCAATGTTCAGAGGGAATTCGGCTCTGCCCCCTGGCTCCTTTCAACATGTGCATGCGATTTCAGGATATCATGTGTCATTGCACATGCGACATCATGACGTCACATTGGGCCCCCTGTATCAACTTGAGAAGATGGCGCCTCTGCGGGCTGCCATGGCATGAACGCACAGAAAATACTATAATTCACCCTAGGACCTAGGGTGAAGGGCAGGTATAATTATTATTATTATTATTATTATTATTATTAATTATTTATACCCCGGCCATCTGGCTGAGTTTCCCCAGCCACTCTGGGCGGCTTCCAATCAAGTGTTAAAAACAACACAGCATTAAATATTAAAAACTTCCCTAAACAGGGCTGCCTTCAGATGTCTTTTAAAAAGAAGATAGCTGCTTATAAATGTATTATTATTCTTATTATTACTATTACTATTATTGCTTCCCTTAGTGCTAGGGTGACATTTAAAGAAAACCTGCGATGCTACTGAAAGGACTCTCATGCTAGAAAACAATCGTGTGAGATTCAGTGGGCCTGCTAAAACGATATACCCTGGGTTTGCAAAGCAAACACTAGCACACAAGCTTAACTTGATTCTCATTCCTAGCCTCATTGAACTCAGAGTGACTGCACACCTGGGCGAATTCAAACACAGCCTTAAGAGCTCACATTAACAGTGATTAATTTTTAAATCATTATTATTTGTTGTCCTTGCTATAAATTTGCAGAAGTACTACCAGGAAAAGCGGTAAACCTGTTTTTATTGTGTGATAAAGCAAACTATACAAAATGCATATGTTTCCTTTTTCCAAGAAGAGAGAGAAACTGCTGCTCTTTATAACACTCTGGCAAAACAACTTTATTGGTTTTACTGCATCATTTTTACTTATTAAAATTTAATAATGTTTGTTGATGAAATAAATGAAACAATTTTACAATGATTTGTGCTTGCTTACTTGGGTTTTCAGGGTTGCTGCATTTCTTTCTAGAATGTGTGGGGCCTTCTGAAAGGCTGAAGTCCTGTGACGACGAGCTCTGTAGAGATGAATGCCCAGGGCGTGAGACAGGGAGCTCTAATAAGGTCAACTACTGACCCCATCTTTCCACTGCAAACCCCACACATTTGAGATGGTGGTAGGCATAGTGTCCAATGAGGATAGGGTTGTCTCTGACTAAGTCCTACTCACTGGAATTAACAGACCTAATGTATTCCATGACCATTCATTTCAGTGGGTCTGCTTTAAGTAGGACTAAAACGGGATAGAACCCCCATGGACTCCAAACATCCAACCGGAGGGGTGGGGGGAAGAAATTAAACACCTTAAGGCAAAACCTTTCAGCTTCTGCCTTCTTCAGCTGCTCTGATGTTAATCAAAGACTGTTGCATGGTCATGGTGAAGGTTGAAAAAGAACTTTTTTGAGAGTTATGGCACTCCTTTAAAGTAATATATATGCTTCCATATATATATATGCTTTTGAATTATGGTGCTGGAGGAGATTCTTGAGAGTCCCATGGACTGCAAGAAGATCAAACCTATTCATTCTGAAGGAAATCAGCCCTGAGTGCTCACTGGAAGGACATATCCTGAAGCCGAGGCTCCAATACTTTGGCACCTCGTGAGAAGAGAAGACTCCCTGGAAAAGACCCTGATGTTGGGAAAGATGGAGGGCACAAGGAGAAGGGGACGACAGAGGATGAGCTGGTGGGACAGTGTTCTTGAAGCTACCAGCATGAGTTTGACCAAACTGCAGGAGGCAGTGGAAGACAGGTGTGCTCTGGTCCAGGGGGTCACGAAGAGTCGGACACGACTAAACGACTAAATAACAACAACAAGATGTTTCCATAGTCTAAACTCATATTACCAGCAGTCAAACTGCTTGCATAAGAAATCTTAACCTGTGCTGTGTATTCATGGGCATGTTTAACTAAGAAAGAAAAACGGCAAAGAAAGTATTCAAGCATGATGAGAACATCAGATTTGCAGTCCCACAGTTTAACTAATTCATTCTAAAAAGAGTCAATCTGTTGCAAAGGTCATTCCTGTGCATATTTAATCATAAACGCAGGAGTCACCTCATTCTTTCTTTTCCCCACTTGTGTGGCAGTGCACGATGAAACGAGACACGTATCTCTCTCCTCCCCACACAGCATCTTTCGTCTGTCAACCTCTTCCATAGACAGCTTGTCACAATTAGCCCAAATGAAAGCATATCAAGGAATCAGGGTGCCAGGGTGCCATGAAGGAGACACTGCCGCCTCGTGCCCTGAGGCGCTCCTTGAGGTATTGCAGTCTTGAGCCATTTCAGGCTTTATAGGTCAAAACCAGCCCTTTGAATTGCAACTGGAAACTAATTGGCAGCCAGTGCAGTCAGGCCAGGATTGGTGTAATATGCTCAAGCCGTCTTGCCCCAGTGAGTGACCTGGCCGCCAAATTCTGCACCAGCTGAAGTTTCCAAACCATCTTCAGAAGCAGCCCCACGTGTAAAGCATTGCAGCAATCTAAGCTAGAGGTTACCAGAGAATAGTGTTAGAATTCTTGCTCCATGATTGCAGTCATGGGATTTTTGTCTTTCACATGACATTATATGTTTTGACTCCACAGAGTGGGGAGTGACGGAGACAGGATGTTTGTGTTCCTGTGTTCCGTGAAGTGGGACTATTGTCCTTTGTTCTTTTTCTCTTTGCTGTCTGATGCTAGAGAGAGAGGGAGCCATGTTGCAGTGCTCCGTGTGTGTTTATGTGTAAATAAAGTAGATTAACCAAAATGCTGAGTTGCTGAGGTCTGTCACGAAAAGCTGCGAAGACTCTGCGGATCCCTAAATGTGCCGGTGTCAGGTGGCATCGGTCGCTGTGATGTTCGGGCTGAAGAAAGCTTTTGAAGCTCCCCAACGATTGACCAGGAGGGAGGGAACATTCCAGTCGGGCATGTGTCTCTGCCAGGGTCTACTCAAGTGTAGGCTGAACTCCTGACAAATAGATGACAGAAGTTTTGCTATGTCTGTCCACGTGGGGTGCAGCAGAATCACCAGCAGAAGCTGATGGAAGACACTCCGTACCACCGAGGCCACCTGAGCTCTGCAGCCAGCATTTACGGGATCTGCTTGAGGAAATGGGCCCTTTGAGGGTCAGCTGACAGGCTGCTCAGGCAGGATGGTACTGCTGTGTAGATGGCATCTTGGCTCAGCTTGCCAGGCTTGCGGTAGAAACCAAATATTGCAGTGTAGGAAGAAGCCTTTCTATAAGGGAAAGGCCTGCTGCTGTGAAAAGACAAGATACCTGCACCTAAGCTTGTGGTGAGGGCAATACAGGAATGGCTTGAAGAAATTAGAGAGAGTATTTTTTGATGCTGACTCTTCATTAGTGGATTTGATTTGCATGGAATTCCCAATGTGCAAGGTTGTCACACTACCTGAATGAATGGATCTTTATTTGCGTCAGCCATCGGCCATTGCAATAAAACAACACTACGATATACAAAGAATAGAAATAAAAAGTCAATTCTATAAAATACATTTTAGGGGTTTGAATCAATAGTCAAATAGTGGATCTCATTCTGATTGCCCCAGCTAAAAACCTTGCAACCTTTGCTGTCACCTGCTCATCTTGATCTGCCAAGAGAAAGGACACTGGGGCAGTGGTTGGGTAACCCAGAATGGATAATACAAGAGGGGTGATAATCTCATTCCTCAAGTCTTTATAAAGAGTGCAAGCCAGAAGGGCATGTACCACCGATTCGGTACTTGAATCTCCACAGCGACATAAGCGTTTTTCGTGTGGAATTGTTGGATTCAAGCACAGCTGAGGGCAATACATTTAATATTGCGAGAGTAAAAGCATGTCTATATTTTAGAATTGCTAGGTTATGCAGATAGGGTGCCAGAGAGTCGAAATGGGGAGGTGGAAAATAGTCATACCATGGGCAAAATTTTCTTATTGTGGCCAAGTTGTTCTGGCACTCAATAACATTTAGGTGCTGACAAATTAGACTCCTTACTAAAACCCAAAGTGAGTAGCTGTTGTGGTGATAAACCACAAGAGTGAAGTTTTTGATAGACAATTTTAGTTCATGCGCTCTTGTGACAATCTTGCAGCACTAGGGATATTAGACTGGGGGGATTTGAGTTTAGGTGAAGCCAATAGTTAAGTGTCCTACACCAGATCCGTAGTCCTACCAAGGGAAGATTAGCCTCTAGGTGCAATGATGCGTTTGGGACACAGGGTGGTACAGAGAAAATTAGCCTGAAGAACTTTGATTGGACAGCTTCCGTAGATCCAAGGTCATATCTAGAAGCAGCAATACAACACTTTTATTTCACCTTCACTACTATCCTGAACAAATAAAGACTGCTGCACTGAAGATCACGCAACCGTTGGTTTCAGTTTTATCAGTTTTATTCTATTTTGCTTCTATTGCATGTGACATTTTGCCTGCACAAGCCACATAACTGGCTGGCCTTCAGCTGACTAAAACAAAAGCGAGCTTCGATTAGATGGCATGTCACATCATGAAAGCAGCAGCAGCAGTTCCAGTAACATATTAACTGTGCCCACAAGGCTGAGCCAAAAATTCTCCTCTCACAATTTGCAGCCTATTTGCAGGGTGTGGTGGGGGATAATTTCAGGGGTTTTGGAAACGCAGAAAGAGGGCAAAGCCAATATTGGAACGATGCAGCGTTCTCATGAAGCCAATTGTGCTAGGAAATTACCTGAAACTTGGGGAACCACCAATGAAGGGGGTTATTATAAACTTCTTCACAGTAACAATTCCATTGGTCCAATAGCCATCAAGGGAATAAAAATTAAAAGGCCCAAATATCTCAAAAGGGTATTCCGTATTCCTGAATTTGTACATGTTCTATTCATAAAGTTCCAAAAATTTTCCTGTCAAATCCTCCTTGTTCCTCCTTGCCAACTTATTTCAGCCAATTCATTTTAGCATGGCATAAAAATACACACCACGCCCAGACTTTGCCATCCTGTTCACAGGTCTCTTTCAGTTATTCTTCAGGGAAGTGGATTTCTTCAGGGAGACATGACCTATTTGCCCATCATATTGGCAGTGGAAGTCCTGGTTGTAGCCAACAGTCCTTCCCACTGCTCCTCAGGGCTGTTCCCCACCTACACCCCGCTGTTTTACTGATGGCAGAACTGTGCAGGCAGTACCAATGCAGAAAGGCAGATATCAGTGCATTTACTTAGTGTGCAAACAGAGGAGGTGGAATATTTGAGAACATTCTAGGTATGCCAAAAGGCTTGTGAAACTCAACTGAGTGGAAGCTAATGAGCTAACACTTGTAAGTTCACTATACTTCACATTCTGAAGTTGCATGTAATTAGTTTTACTCATTTCCTTCAAAACAACAAAAACCTGGTGCTTGCAACCAGCTTGAGATTTGGCCTTGTTAGCATCTTGTGGTTTCTGACTCCTTGAAGCTTTTGAGAAGTGACAAGAAACATCACTAAAATATCCAGACTACATATCTGATCGTGCTAAAACCGTGCTTTGAACATATTTTATATGCTGAGAAACAAAACAAACAAATCCCTGCTTTGATTGAAGTCCAGTTATGGTAGGGCAGGGATATTTTTCTTCTTCAAGGCTCTGCCCCAGTCACATCTAAAGATGGGGTAAGTAGGTCTCATCTTTAAAATACGGTGTGTGTGCAGGTGAAAGGAGTGAGCTGAACCTCCCTGCACCACCCATGGACTTACTTGCTGTGCACCATTACCTGAAACTTCCCCCCCCCCCAAAAAAAAAACCCTGGCTCACTTCTGGTTTGGGAGCCAGTATACAAGAGAGTATAGGGAGGGGAGACGGTTCATTTCCCTTCGATTGTATGAACATTTTGCTGGAAATATTACACACAGGGTTTAGACGTAGACAGCAGACACATGAAGAACAAATGTGGCTATCCCAATATCTCCAGTCTGGCCTTGAGATACTGTTGAGCTGCACGGCTTGTGGGACCATCACAACACATCTGAAGGATCCTACTGGGCCCTGGTCCACTCTCCCTTCTCAGGTTGCCAGACAGTAGCTATATTTGGCCCCTGACCTAATTACTTCACAACAAGGCATAAAATAACAGTCCGTGTAGCCATTGCCTCCTGCTATTATACAGTAGCTGCAGGGCCGGCCCACCCATGAGGCAAGGTGAGGTGACCGCCTCAGATGGCAGGATCAATAGAGGCAGATCTTTATTCCCTCCTTGTTCCCGATATAGATAATAATAATAATAATAATAATAATAATAATAATAATTTATTTATACCCCACCCATCTGGCTGGGTTTCCCCAGCCACTCTGGGCAGCTTCTAACCGAATATTAAAAACAATACAGTGCCAGACATTAAAAACTTCCCTAAACAGGGTCGCCTTCAGTTGTCTTTTAAAAGTAAAATAGTTGTCTATTGCCTTGACATCTGCTGGGAGGGCATTCCACAGGGCAGGCGCCACCACCGAGAAGGCCCTCTGCCTGGTTCCCTGTAACTTGGCTTCTCGCAGTGAGGGAACCGCCAGAAGGCCCTCGGAGCTGGACCTCAGTGTCCGGGCTGAACGATGGGGGTGGAGACGCTCCTTTGGGTATACGGGACCAAGGCCATTTAGGGCTTTCAAGGTCAGCACCAACACTTTGAATTGTGCTCAGAAACGTACTGGGAGCCAATGAAGATCTTTCAGGACCGGTGTTATATGGTCTCGGCAGCCACTCCCATTCACCAGTC